AGAGAGAGAGAGAGAGAGAGAGAAAGAGACAGACAGAGAGAGAGCGAGAGAGAGAGAGAGAGAGAGAGAGAGAGAGAGAGAGCGAGAGGAAGCGAGAAGTGAGAGAGAGAGAGAAACAGGGAGCGCGCGCAAGAGAGTGAGAGAGAGAGAGAAGAGAAGAGAGGGAGATAGAGCGCGCAAGAGAGAAGAGGAGAGAGGGGGAGGTGTGAGAGCCGTTAGGAGAGGGGGGTGTAGAGAGCCAGAGTTACAGTCAAACCGTTACAAACGCAACAATTACAGATACGCCATGAATTAAACCCATGCATTAATACTTCTCCTATTGTATTCACCCGACGTGCATGGATGCGCCGATACAGCTGAGTAATCTTTGTACGCTCAGCCTCATTCCACCCCTCTCGATAAACTAATAAAATAAAATAATAAAATAAAATAAAGTGATAAAATAATTATTCCCTTCGAATACAAAATGATATTTTATGTGCGAGTTACCGCTGTGTTTTGTCACCGGAAATCCGCTGCAAAATTCCAGTGTAAAATTAGCTAACAGCTAACAGGTCTACGGAAGCGTTCCCACGTCGTACCTTCTAAATTGACTACGTCAGGAATTTTCTATGGTGCATATTTGTAAAATGTTTGTTGCAATGTTTTACACGAAAAGTAAGTACGAACAGGACTAAATGTATCCTCGAATTTTTACCTGATAAGATTGTTTCTCAACTAGTTAAAAATCCACAAATTTGGGCGATTTGCTATATTGATCACGACATTAAATGCTTGCTATGTGCTATGTATGAGTCACGAGTGTTTGTTCACATCAAACGGAATAGCAAAAAAGGAAGTATGGTGCAGGAATTTAACCATAAAAAGTGAACAGAAACACTTACATTTTGCGAAAAGGTGGACATGATTTTTTTTACTTTTACTATTTACGGTGACGTAATCACTTTCATTCGTGTACTCCCACGCTATCGCTGGCACGCTGCCAACTGTATCGTAAGCCACAAGTCCCCCCCCTTCTCTCTCTGTCGTGCACTTTCTCTTTCCCCTTCTCTCTCTCGTTCAGCGTCCCTCTTTCCCCATTTTCTTTAAGTGCGCTTTGACCTTTTAATCTGACCTTGAATCGATCATATTCAGAACAATCAGAATGACAGCTTGTCATGCTCGTTAAATTGTTTTTAAAAACACACCAAATGTTCAATGACACGCGAGCTTTTTTGTCGTTCGTAACCTTAAGCCTTTTGAACGCGATCGCTCAATCACAGCGTGTAAGCGTGTAAAAAATGACGGAATCCTCTCTAAGCCTCTAAACCATGTTTCGCACCGGATCTGTTAATTCAAATTGCACGCGATGGGCTCCCGTGTAAAATTCCCGTGTAATCCGTATGAAGGTATTTCACAACTGAGTTTTTAGCTCTGACTAAACGTCGTCTTAATCTCGTTCACCTTCCTTCTCTGCATTTGCCACGTAGCGTCACTGTGACGGTAAAATAGTTAAGAGGTTTTAATGTACCATGGGAAATAAAATAGTTTCTCTGGTGTATAAGTAGTGGAAAGCGTGTGGGAGAGGTGGCAAGATGGAGAGCTATAGGGAGATGGAGAGAAGGGAGCCCGCGCGCACGAGATAAAGAGAGATTTATTTAAAGTAGGTAATAGAAAGTACAAGTGGAGAAAGCAAGCAATGGAAAGGAAAAGGGCGAAAAAACGCACGGGAGTAAGATCAAAAGAGTGATAAAGAAAGCGAGTGGGCGAAAGCGAGAGAGAGAGAGCGAGAGAGAGAGAGAGAGAGAGAGAGAGAGATCGAGAGAGAGAGAGAGAGAGAAATAGAGAGATAGAGAGAGAGAGAAAGAGAGCGAGCGAGAGGGAGAGAGAGAGAGAGAGAGAGAGAGAGCGCGTGTGAGAGAGAGAGAAAGAAAGAAAGATAGAGAGAGAGAGAGAGAGCGAGAGAGAGAGAGAGTGGGAGGGGGCTGTTAACAGGCGATCACTCGGGAGCCTTGCGCACGCGGGCCGCCCGCTGCGTCACCCGCGCCGCGACAAAATGGCGCGAAACACACATAGCTCCGTAATCGACACAGTCGGCTCCGATTTTCAAGAACGCGAGCGGCTTTTTCATGTTTTTTCTACATCGCCAAAGTTCTTTCTCTCACTCTCTCCTTTCTTTCTTTCTTTCTTTTCTTTTCTTTTCTTTATACTGGAAGCAGATCGATTTCGCTGAGCACGCGCTAATCTTGAAAGCTGCAAGGTCACGTGATAGTCGCTCGTCGTCTGCGCGATTACTGATCGCCTCCTAGCGGCGTGACGTCACAATGCTACGTCACGGTGTTGCGTGCGGCAGCGAGGAACACTGTTTTAAGTTTCCGTTAATTAAACGGGTAATATCCCAAGTGAGTAATTTACGCGGATTGTGTACCTTAACTACCACTACGAGCAGGGATTTTCACTCGCGTGTCATATACGTGCTGATACACTATACACATTGGCGTATACTCGAAACACAAAAAAGCTAAAATCTCATGAATTCAAGTCTTGAAACAAAGAAACGTAACACTTACATTATAAAGATTTCAAAAGAACAAAAAAAGAGAATCTTTGATAAACTAGCAATTTCGGTGATTTTTCTCGGCAATGCTTCGCTTTCCATCGACCAAGTGGAAGACGTGGATAGGTATGCTGCCCTCTATAGCCCTATGAAAGCTTTATTTCAGCACTGTCCAATCTTACTCGATGTCCCAGCTTACCCAAGTCTCCCCTATTATATGCGTGTGCGCGTGTGTGGGCCGCCCGTATATCGTGACAGACGAACTGGTTGTCGTGGTTACATGATTTGCGCGCGCTCCACATCGTTTTTGTCGACCTTACTCGCATAGGACAAAGCGAGAGGAAGAGCGAGAGGAAGAGCGAGAGGGAGGGAGAGAGAGAGTGGGAGGGAGAGAGAGAGTGGGAGTGAGCGAGAGAAATAGATAAAGATGGAGAGAGAGAGACCGACCTACATATCTGCGCGTAGAGCGCGCAATGTGGGTGCGGGTCACCCGTTGCAGGTTATGTCAGCGATAAATAGTGCTCTCACTGATTGCTCGTTAGTCATTAGTAACTACAGATACAAGTCATTAGTGACTATAGATACAATAGTGGCGACGCTCTGGAGACGTCGGCGATGCCCTGCCGTGTGAATAATGGTTGCAGGTTAATCGTCATAGCAGCAGCGGCGGGGAGTTCACTCTAATGATGGCGAGATGAGGATTGAAATCTCCCCTCTCTAACTCTCTCTCTCTCTCGCGCGCGCGCTTTCTCTCTCTCTCTCGCGCGCGCGCTTTCTCTCTCTCTCTCTCTCTCTCTCTCTCTCTTTCTCGCTCTCTCTCTCCCTCTCTCTCACCTCTCTCTCTCTCTCTTTCTCTCTCTCTCTTCTACCCCTCTCTCTCTTTCTCTTTCTATATATACTATACATGCGGTATATATGTACTATATATATATATGCACTAGTGCACTCAGGTGCCGAATTTCACTGCAAAAAAAATCCTCAAACGACCTTTTCTAGAGACCAAATAGTGCAACATCGATGAACGATTTGCGGAGGCTTACTGTTATATGCCCTCTATAACAACGTGTTGATTGTCGTCTGCTGTTGCTAGGAGATGCCCCGGTGATAGCATCTGGACGCCGGAAACCGAACGCTGCGAGGTTCCGCACAACGCGACGAACGAAGCGTGCGGCTTCGTGGCTCCGACGACGGAATCACCCGACCTCGGAAACCTCGGTAAGCATGAGTCATCGCGATGTATTTCTCGCACTTTTACTCTCGCTGCGTTCTGATATTACACTAATACTATACAATACATGATTTTATATTATGTAAATTTTATAATATTAATTAATGAAGCTATACGCCTGTAAGTAAGCATATAGGTTGTTATGTGTTCGTCATGTTAGTTATTATGTTAGAAGTGACCTAATATAGTATCATGTGATAGCCTTATTATTATTTTTCATTTTTTATTTATTTCTTTTTTTAACGTGGATCACGGCATTATTATTATTATAATTATTATTATTATTATATTTATTTATATTGCGCCTTTTTACATGAAATGATCAAAGGCGCAGCAGATCAATATCGCAAACGACTGAACAATAAAATGAAATAATAATAAATGTGTACATGTGAGATATATCACTAACTAGGAGATAAAATCATATTGAAACAAAGTTAACTATGTATGTAACTCTGTATGTAATATAGTATCATGCGATAGCATCAGGAATGTCATCTGTATTGTGACACTCCCGATGGCATGACAACACAATTAGATCTAAACTTTCTAAAAATTTCTTCTAAACACGAACACGACTAAATGATAGCGTCAGTGTTCACCCGCTGTGACGAAGCACAGCTCTCGGCGTATAATGCGTCTCCATGGTAACGATTACATTATATAGAGAACTCCGTGGATGCTTCTAAACTTGTATATATTATGTTGTATACAGAGGGTTACCCCGGCCCCTGCTCGTACGAGTGCGACGACGGAGGATGCGTGGGATTGAACCAGGTGTGTGATGGCGTAGCGAACTGTGAGGACGGAACTGACGAGCCAGAGGAATATATATATTAAAGAAATCTCCTTGCGTGGTGGGGCAGGCATCCAAAGACCGGTTCTTCCCCTTCAATTTAAACTCAGTAGATGAATCATACCTTGAAGTTTCTCCCGCGGGAATCCTGTTCACTCGTTTTGCTCGAGGTGTGTATATACTAGGGAATGTTAATGACAATATCCGGTAACTCTGGGGTGTGTGCTGAGTATAGTCGGACATGGTCTGTCTCTCGACGATTACACTTTGATATCGCTTGTAATATGAAATCTATATAACTGCTCTCTGCGGGGGTTAGCAAACTGTGACCGTTCAGGTAATTATGTGCACTTATAGTTAGACAATGTGGGGGCGAGATAAGCAGGTGTAATTGAAGGTAAGCGGGGCGGGGGAAGCTGGTTGCCGCAGTGAGTAAGGCAACACCAGCAGTGCTGCTACATGACTTTCACTGATCTGGTTGTCCACTCAGCCGTGATGGCCGCTATTCCTACAAGGGTCTGAATTAGCGAGGAATTAGGAGAGCGTATAAGCCTGATGGCCCATGACCACGACAACTCTCGTTTTTGTTCCTGCACGAAATAGAATCAGTGACTAGCCTGTATTTTCACTCTCTCGCTTTCTCTCTCTCTCTCTCTCTTTCTCCTCGCTCTCTCTCTCTCTCTCTCACTCTTTCTCTCTCTCTTTCTCTCTCTCTTTCTCTCGGTCCCGCTGTCTCTCAACCTATCTGTCTTGCTCTCACCCTCGTTTCACGTTTGCACTGTCTTTCTCTCTACGGGTGGTGCTGTCAGCATTACATCTTTGGCATATAGAATCTCACTCACTCGATAATAGACGAGGGCAATGCGCCCATTACTTTATATCAGCCACAATTCATTATTATAAACGGCGGATGAGTTTCCCTCGCGATGTTACGGTATACGAAGCGCAAACAATTGTATCGCTCACGCAATAGGTCGCTAACCCATCGTGCTGAGAGTGAAAGTGAAAGTGGAGAATTACTCGCAATGAATGACGTGATGGTCATTAATACCCTGATTGCCTTCATTAAATGCAGCAACGTCACGTGCCATTCAACGCATTAAATGTGCCATTCAACGCATTAAATGTGCCATTCAACGCATTAAATGTGCCATTCAACGCATTAAATGTGCCACGATATAATAATATAAAAGTGAAAGTTTGTCCCGGTGCGCCACTATATATGCGCGTCACGCGAGATTCTGCGAGACTAGAAGCTAGCGCATGCATGCTCCGTCATCAAGCGGACGCCGCGACGATCCGAGAGCGGAAATATATCATCGGTGATTCGCGCCGATAACGGGCTATATTTAATATAAATATATATACATATATATATATGTATATATATATATATGTATATATATATGATATATACATCACTAGAAGAAATCTCCTCTGCGTGGGGGGTGCAGGCAGCGCGCCATCCCAACAAGACCGGCTTCGTGCCCCTTGCAATGGAAACTCAGTAGATGATTCATAGGCCTTTCAAAGTTTTCTCGAGCGCCGCGCGGAACTCCTGTTCGCGGCTGAGTCTTTGCTCGAGGGGTGTGTAGTATACTAGGAGGAATGTAATGACAATATCGCCGTAACTCTGGGGTGTGGTGCTGAGTATCAGGTCGGACATGGTTCTTGTCTCGTCGACGATTACACTTTGAATATCGGCCTTGGTATATATGGAAATCTATACGATGCTCTGCGGGGGGTTACGCAACTGTGACCCGTTCAGGTAATTATGTGCACTTATAGTTTATTGTACAATGTGGGGGGCGAGATAAGCAGGTGTACATTGAAAGGTAACCGGGCGGGGGAAGCTGGGTTGCCGCAGTGAGGTAAGGCAAACACCGCAGCGGAGTGCTGCCTAGCATGACATTTTCACTGATCTGGTGTGCCACGGGGTCAGCCCGTGGATGGCGCGCTTATTCCTCTAGCCACGGGCTGTATAGCGAAGAATTAGGAGAGCGTATAAGCCTGGATGGCCCGATGACCACTGACACACTTCTCGTTTTCCTGTTCGCTGGCACGAAATAGAAATCAGTGACTAGCGCTGTTCCTTCATTTTCATCTCGTCGCTTTTCTGTCTCTCTCTCCTCTGCTCTTCTCTCTTCGCTCTCGTCTCTCTTATCTGCCTCGCTCTGCTCTCTCTCTCTCTGCTCTTCTCCTCGCTCTCTCTCTCTCACGTTTCTGTCTGTCTCTCTCTCTCTGCTCTCGTCTCTCTGCTCGTCATCTCTCTCTTCTTTTCTCTCTCTCTCTTCTCTCGCTCTCCTCCTCTCCTCTCATCTCGCTCGTCTCTCCTCTCTCTCTCTCGTCTCTACTCTTTCGGTCTCTCATCTCTCTGCTCTCCTCTCGTCCTCTCAACTCTCTCTCGTCTCCCGCGGCTTTCTCTCCTCGCTTCTCTCTCGCGTCTCTCTCTCGCTCTCTCGCTTTCTCGCTCTCTCGCTCTCGCCCTCTCTCTCTATCTCTCTCTCGCTCGCTCGCGTGTCCGCTTCCCTCACTCTATTCTTTCCCCTTTCTCCATGTTCTCACTTGCTCTAATCTTTCCTTTCTCTAACTCACTCACCTTTCACTGACCTTCCATCTCTACTAACTCCTTCCTCGCTGTTACTGTTCTCCCATTCTCTTTCTTCTTCCTTTTCCCTTCATCTTACATCTATCAACCTCTTTCGCAACACCCTCTCTTACTTATCTAGCCTTGCTTTCTTTCATATTCTACTTAACTAGGTTTAATTAAAGAGATCTTTCTATAAGTATGCGCTGCTGCCTGCATGACCAGTACGTCTGTATCGTTGTGGCCGAGCTTAGATGTATAGCAGGGGTAGAGAGGCTCCTCGACCACACACACAACCGCACACAACACACACGCACGCGACCCCACACATGCAGCCACGCCACACACACACACGCACCACAACCCACCGAGCGCACAGCACACAGCACACACGACGACACACAACACACACACACACGCAGCAACGCACACGCAGCAACGGCACACCCGCGGCCTCGCACACACGCACACGAGGCACAGCGCCCACGCACACGCGCGGCACGCACTCGCGACGACGCACACGCACACGCACACGCGCACACCAGCACTACGCACACGCGCACGCCACAGCCAAGACACCGCAACGCACGGCGCGCGCGCCGCGCACACACACACCACGCACGAAACGCACGCCACGCACGCACGCACGCACACACACGCACGTTGGGCTGTCACGCGCCAGGCTCCACACGCACGCACGCACACACACACACACATGACGCACACCGTGTCCACACACACACACTATACATGCGCGCCAGCGTTGCGATGCGTCGGGTCACACACGAGTCAGGTATCGCAATCACCACACACACAGACACACAACACACACAACACACGCAGCACACACACACACACACACACACACACACCCACGCTGCGTGATTCATAGCAGGCTTCTGCTATTCTCGCGTACGCCGAACGCGAATTCGCGCGTCGCGATCTCGGGCGTCTGCGAGGTCACGTGTGCACGCCTCGGCGCGCGCAGCGGGACGACTCGCCAGCGGTAGCACGGGCCGACGCAAACCAAGACAGACGCGGCGCCAGTACTTAGCCAGAACACAGTGCGACGATGAAAGAGGTGGAGATAGAATCCGATGCAGACAGGCAGTGTGCTAGTAGGTTATGGAGCACCTGATAAGCGGGGAAGGGGCGCTGAGTGGTCAGCGGGCGAAGGTCGTGGGTGTTATTAATGAGGCGGTGTAGGTAGCATAGATGTGAATGGACGAGGGCAGGGACAGGGGTTAAGCAGGGAGGGAGGGAGGGAGATTGGTTGGAGCGAGGGAGCGAGATCGTGGTATGTAGAGTGGTGTTCTTTTAATGGACCCGTGTAGTACCGTGATGGTCGATGAAAGAGGGAGGACAGGTAAGGGAGGCAGATGCGTTTGAGGTAGGGAGGAACGAGCATCTGTATGTAGAGGGTGTTCTTTTAAATCGCGCCGTGGTAGGTACGTGATGCGTGATGAAAGAGGGAGGGACAGGGGTTGAGGCAGGGAAGGGAAGGAGGGGGTTAAGGAGGGAGGGAGGTGTTGAGAGAGGAGCGAGGGAGGGCGAGATCGTGTATGTAGGAGTGGTGTTCTTTTAATGGGCCGGTAGGTACGGTGATGGTGCCTGAAGAGGGAGGAAAGGGGTTAAGGGAGGCAGGGCGTTGAGGTAGGGAGGGAGCGAGATCGTGGTATGTAGAGTGGTGTTCTTTTAATGGGCCGTGTAGGTACGTGATGGTGATGAAAGAGGGAGGAAAGGGGTTTAAGGGAAGGCTCTTGGAGGTAAGAGGGAGCAGAGAATCAGTGCGTATGTAGAGTGGTGTTCTTTTAATGGGCCGTGTAGGTACGTGATGGTGATGAAAGAGGGAGGAAAGGGGTTAAGGGAGGCTGGGCGTTGAGGTAGGGAGGGAGCGAGATCGTGGTATGTAGAGTGGTGTTCTTTTAATGTGAGTTTAATGAGCGCCCCATGAGTCACACCATGACGATGTATGGGCCTTGCGTCGGGGATTTCTTTTCCGAGTTGAGTGAGGTTATGTGAGTGCAGGCTTCCCATCCCTCCACGTGGTGTGGTGTGTGTGTGTGTGTGTGTGTGTGTGTGTTGTGTGTGTGTGTGTGTGTGTTTGTGTGTGTGGGTGTGTGTTGTGTGTGTGTGTGTGTGGCTGTGTGTATGTGTGTTGTGTCTGTGTGTGTATGTGTATGTGTAATGTTGGTATTGTGTACTGTGTAATTGTGTGTGTGTCGTGTGTGGGTGTGTGTGTGGTGGTGTGTGTAGTGTCTTGTCTGTCTGTTAGTGTGTACGCGAGGAATGTCTTTCTGTTCTGTGCGCGTGTATGGTATGTGCGCGCATGTCTGTGCTGTGATGGCGGCATTGACACGCATCTGTTGCGACGGCTGCTGGCGGTAATTGATTGGCGCATCCCTGCCGGTGGCACAGTCGCAGCATGAGCAAGGTCCAACCCCACAACACAGCGGCGAGTCGCGCGTGTGCCGCGTGTCCGTGGCAACGGTCCCGTAAAAACAATCACCCGACATTATGACAGACAGAGACGTCTCAGCGGCGCATGCGCAGTGAGCGCATGTGGAATGCAGGAACTCTGAGCCGCGCGAATGCTAGTTTTCAATGTGTGTGTGACGTGATTGTTTTCTGCTCGTTATAGGGGGAGTGAAATCACAGGGTTTCTTCACTGATTAATATATATATATATAGGTACTAATTATATATTATACCATAGACACCGACACAATGCGTACGCGCACGTAGACTCCAGCCCCCCGCACACACACACATAGCACACACGCACAAGTGGTCGCCGAGCATACACCCACACCACACCACACACACAGACACACCAGCCACACCCACACGACACAACACACACACACACACACATGACACACACACACTACACACATACACCAGCACACAACACAGCACACACAACAACACACACACACACACACACACACAGGATCTTTCTTGTAACCGTCACGTGAACAGTATATATGATCAATGCGACATATCGGGGCAAGGAATCCCCTATCATTATTATTATTAAATCTTTATTGCATGTAGTTCAAATACAAGTACATGTACTGAGGACAGTCTATTTCATGGAGAAAAATTCGGATAAATGCAATAGCGTTTGAGCAGTTAAAAACCTAGACTAACTTCATCTCAATGGCGGAGTATATAGTGAACCAAACCTCTCCGCATAAGCAGGCCACCGTCCTCGCTCAAATTCTTTACCAATATCGGTTTACAAAAGCGACGACGAAGAATGCCATTTGACTATCTAACTCTTTTACCTCTGCCGCCGAAATAGAGAATGCAGTCCGCATTTTTTACCGCCCAACATTCCCCGACACAAGCATCTCATCAATGGATGTTCTCAGACAAAGCTCATCTCGGCCAATTAGCGCTTGCTGATGGTCGTTGGACTTCACTAAAGTCGGCTATGTGGTGATAAATGCGGGCACGCGTTAAATTAGTTCGATTGATGAGTCGATGTCATTGCATAGCTTGACGTTAGGAGAATGGCGGTTGTAGGGCGGCGATGGTGATAGAGAGCGCAGAGTAGGAATGTACTGCACTGTCAATTAACAGGTATAGACTGTTCAGCTGTCCAATCCATTACCTAAACGTATGTATATTAATGGTTTCGTGTTGTGCTAGTTATCTCGTTTTCTGTCTCTCTCTCTCTCTCTCTCTCTCTCTCTCTCTGCAGCGATCTCTGCTCTCTCTCTATTCTTCTTCTCTCCTCTCTCCTTCTCTTAGTCTCTCTTTCTCCTCTCTTGGTCTCTCTTCTCTCTCTTCTTCTTCTTCTCTCTCCTC